AGGTAAAACACCCGACTATGCATGTTTTATGAGTGTTTACATATATGACATGAACAAACGGTCATAAGAGTACCTAACGCACTTTTCTTTGAAACTGTTTTATTTTGAGGCACTTCAGAAAACAAACAAACATGCAATGATTCAACCTAAAACACCCGATTATATACAGGACACTTTTGTATGCCGTCTACGGTATGCATCTATAATAGACACTTATTATCGACTGTATGCAGCATATTTATTGGGAAAAACATTTGGCAGTAAGTCATACTGTGCATGTAGCGATAAATTTACCGATTTTAGTATTTTACGAGTGTGCATACCATGTACCTGTCACAAGTTTAATAACCGATGGAATTAAACATGCACCGTGATGTTATCAATGTTCGAGTTAGTAAGCTGGATGACGCTGCGCTAAACAGGCAATTATTCCCTGTGATCTAATCATTAGAGTCAATTCCTTAACAGCTCTTATTTGCGGAACATCGGTGTTGAATTCCAATATGGTGATTACCACGCACCTGTGCAAATTGTCGTCTAATTTAAACGAGCACCTTTAGGCCTCTAATAATACATAGCCATTCAATTGTTATTTAGAAATGTAAATAATACAATAAATACAATATGAAAACAAATATTGAGCAATAAATAAGTTTGCTACTTCTTTGCAAAGATTTTGAGATACCTTTCGTAAACGACTGTTGACATTAATGTATGTTGCCTGTTCAAGTAATGGTAACTTGTGTCGTGCGCACGTCCATTCATGATTGAATGATACTATCGGGAGCATTTGTGGACAGGTGGCATATTCGTTAGAGAAGCAATAACAACTTGAAGTCTTTTTTGATTTTCCGAGGAAAGAAAGGAACCGGACGTTATCCTAAACAAACCTGAAGGTATGATGATATTGTTACTCCGCTACGAAGCGTGTGGAAAGTGTAATTGATAGAGCCAGCGTCGGCAGTTGTGTACTACATTGATATTTGCAGCGGCCTCCATTCATTTCTTTATGTTCGGCATAACTGATTAAACTGAAGTTCATGAATTTACAGGGCCAGACAATTTCATACCACATTACGTCCATGCCAACACCCCCAGATCAATATCTGATTTACCAAATAAAATCATAGAAATGTTGCAGAATTTAACAGGAAATTTCAGTTCAATTCGTTTGTGGTAATATTTTCGCCATCTCATTACATGCGCGTTAGTTTATAACAACAATAATATTTTCATCGTATATCGCATTGTTTGAAACAATAATGAATATTTTTTTGAACATTACTCACTACATTTTGATAATATTATACTTTTCAGATTTTAAGATAAGCGATCAGAGCGAACAAGATGAAACTGCTAATGTTGGGAATTAATTTTGTCCTGTTAATATGGGTTACTACTGAATGGGTTCAAAGATGGTATTGTTCGTTTCAGTTAATTACTCATCTGTTTTGAAGTGTCAATTTTTGCAAATATCTGGTATTGTATCTACAGTTTCACGAAAGGTTTGAATTTTAGTACAAGTAAACACATTTACTCACGCGATTGATAATATCTTTTACAACCACTATACATGTCTGGCTTTCTTAACTCGAACTTACTTTATTAATGTTTATATTTAGAAATACATTCTTACTTGATTATGTGATTTGTTTATCGTTTGTTATGATTACTGTATAATAGTGTAAAGTACCTCATCATGAAACGCATCATTTGATATATTTTGTTTTCAGAAATAATAATTTTAATGATTTTTTTATCATGTTATCAGTGTAAATACATTTTAAAATGTGTCTCTGTTATTAACACTTGTCAATATTGTGTTTTACTGTTCAAAGTGTTGCGATGATAAACACTTTTTCAATAAGTATTTCTGGTGGAAACTCTTTGTGATAATAAGCTCGAAAATACATGTTCCTGGTGGAAACACTTTACAAAATGTGTGTTTAGTAAAAGCACTTTTAAAAGTGTTGTGATAATTAGCACTTTTTATACATGTTCCTGGTGGGAACACTTTACAAATGTGTGACTAGTAAAAGCACTTTTAAAAGTGTTTTGATAATAAACACGTTTTATACATGTTTCTGGTGGAAACACTTTACAAAATGTGTGTTTAGTAAATTACTTTTAAAAAGTGTTGTGATAATAAACGCGTTTTATACATGTTCCTGGTGGAAACACTTTAGAAATGTGTGACCAGTAAAAACATCTTTATATACATGTTTCAAAAAACGTCTTTCTAATGTGTTATGTATAAAAACATCCCTGAAATGTTTCACTAAAAGTGTTTTCATAATATACACTTCTCGCAGTTATGCAGATTATAATCACTTTAAATGTTTTTTAAAGTGGGGATAAAAATGTGTTATATTTTTATACACATAGATTTACAGTGTAGCCACCATGCTCCCTAGTTAAAAAAATTTCAATCGAGTAGCTAATATGCTCCCCTAGTTAAACAAATGTTCAAACACATTGAGAGCTGTTCTATAACGATATCATTACAGCACTTTTGTGTACAATCCCATACTGTACATGAGGTACTGCCGATCATTGCACTTACATAAGTTTTACTAGCACTTGAATTATGTGAGAATATAATATGTACCACAGAAACAATGAAATAGAAAGAACACAATTATTAAAACCCTATAATTTTTCAAATTAGAGAAACACTTATGATAGCAACGTGATCAGTAAAATACCTGGTATGGAATACGTTAATTACATAATCAGTTTTTGTTGGTATATAGGTTAGAAATCATCATTATTGATAGCTCAATAGTCAATACCACATTTCTAACATGCAATATGTTAATTAGCTAATTTCCTTGAAGTGCCAAATCACGTATGATCTTTATATGAACAATTACAGCAAGTGATTTAACATCCAGGTTGTCAACGCTTCCGCTTTATAATCAATATTCTAACAAGTGTGTCCCTAATTCAAAAGTATATGTTGCGTGCCGCTTACTGTCGCAATATTATGCTGGACTAACAATGGGCAATATAATACTCTGTTTATGCACATGCATGTAGATCTAGTGTATTGTTACACTGACGAGTCACCACACATTGGCGACTTAAACCAATATCCTGTAATTACATAGCAGACGACTCGCAGACGACCCACTGCTGCATATCAGGAAGTTTTGACAATCCAATGCTACCAGTATCTTAATTATGTGTACAAATTATTCATTAGAGACCCTAGCAGGACTTGGGCTCCTACTGTTATTGTTCAGCTTTTTCTTCTTCTTCATCCTCTTCTTCCGCTATTTTATTCTATAGCTTGATCGAGAAATCGCTAATCTGCATCTACTCAAATTCCTATGTAAATTAGGGCTATTTTGAACTTGTATACTTATTAGTCATAAAGCGCGGTGGTGGTCGCACAGCGCGTGTTCGAATTTCATGTAAACAAACAATGTATTTTACAGGCGTTGTATACGTCGCTATGAGTCCCATATCGAACAGGACGCGGCGCGACGACCACCGCCCTTTAAACCGAATGTGTCTGATGTCCTAAGTGATCTGAATCTGTTACGGCATATACTACTAAACATCCCATGTGCATAAGATACAAGCCATTTATCGGTTGCACGACTTTTCCGCTTTTTCCAGAGGGAAATGGCGAAAACTTTATTTTTCAGCATATAGGTGTAAAGCACAAAGTTTGAAAATCTGTTTATGGTTGTCAAGTGATTTGGTTGTAATTTTTGATTTTGACATTTTAATATTGAACTCCTTCAGACTCCTAAAATAATTTGGATCAGTTTTTTGGTTTGGTCACCATATTGAATTTTCACAAAAAATTGAGATCATTGATATTTCATAGGTGCTTTAACCAATCAACTTAATATTTGGTATTAGCAGCTATGACCAAATCTTCTCACGAGAAAGATAGTTTTGTTCAGTAACGTGGTGCGTCTGTCATCTTTTTTGGGGAATATGCTAACAAAGTTATTTGTGTCTCAATAATGCTTCAACCAATCAACTCGATATTACGAATAATTACTAGTACGCCTTATTTTCGCAATAACATCTAAAATACGTATTTTGAGACATTGACCGGCGAACCGGCAGCCATTTTGTCAAAGTGGAAACAGGATCTGTTTGCTTTTCTAAAGGAATCCTGTGGCTACTTTTTTTGTTCTGGACAGAAATTCTGAGTGCAGGCGTTAGCAACCTTCGTGGACAGAATCCTTGTCATTCTAATGACGTGCCCGGTCCTATACATATATCGTGGCTGTTATTGCGAGAAAGTAATATAATGTGGTATATTCTGTTTATATAGGATGAAAACATCGCATCACGAGTAGAAATATTCATACCCACAAACATCAGAGCGAGACAATGCCATCGTGCTATGGTTACATTTGTTCCCGGAATTTACCGGAACCACCAGAAAAAGATGTTCGTACGAGTGCAGAGACAGATCCGGTTATTCGAAATGAAACTTTTTTTTTTCAACTTGATATACTACATACAAATGTCACTTCCATGAGTTCCTCAATGATCAAACAAAGTAACGAAAATCATTTAAGTTAGCAGAGGCACATCGCTCTGGGAAAATAGCGAGCGTTATTACGTAAACACGCAGAGTCATTTTACGGCAATGAAACCTCTGATTGTCAATTTTTAACTATCAAAACATACACAGTTATAACATTCACCAATAATTAACGGGGTGCCAAGATACAACGTGGCCAAGTAAACGCCAAAATAAAACAATAAAACCTTTAGAAAGATCTGTTGTCTCTCAATTGCATAATAGTGATAGACAATACCAATTGTATTCTACAGCAAATGACTGTATACTAATCTTATGTTGTAATACCATTGATCACATAAGAACAGCAGTGTTCACATCGCATACCATTCCCAATAGATCGTTCACAGTTTTGTGATTTCAATGTCTATCTCCCTTATGACTCTCCAAATAAAACACATTCTACTTATTTTATTTTATTCAAAGAAATATTTAATTAATAACATATTTATAACGATTCCAGGAATACACGTATTTGGTCCTCATTTCGTTCCATCCACAAAATATTCGTTTCAACTCGTTTCACGGCTTCATTAAAATCATTTGCTGCTTCGACTGGCATATCGCTATATACATTCCCGAAGGCGTTCAACTACGAGGAGACAAAATTTACATAATTTGTTAATGATGAATTGATATTCTAATTTTAATATTTAGATTCATCACTTCCGAACTCCGACTAAGCGAATTATGATACGCAAGCAAGTAAATACACATAAATAAAACCCAAAGAAAAGAAATATTTCCCAATACACATTACATTACCTCAAGCAGGTCTTTGTTTGTGTTCATTTGATTTGCAAATGTCCAGGCTATATCGAATGCACTGTCCCCATATCTAGAGTTGAAATACCGATCAATACGATTAAATTTGCACATATGTCAATGTCAATATAAAAGATGAAGTAATACATTAGTACTGTATCATTTGCTATAGTATGTTATAATATACGGTTATTACGAGAATACCTCAAAGTATGCACGAAGACAGTACATCTGGTCCAGGAGTATCGACCGACGCGCAGCGTACTGTCTGAGTGCATACTATAAGGTTATTATACGAAGATACCTCAAAGTATGCACGAAGACAGTACAGCGGCAGTATCGACCGTCGCGCAGCGGAGGTCGATAAGACAGTGTACTGTCTGAGTGCATACTTGAGGTATC